GACTATGCGTCTCATTAGAAATTCTCAATAAAGCTGCTTCAAGTTTGGCCGGGATCTACCGGAGAGTGCTTAAAGTACTGCATGAGATCCTGATCTGAATTATCTAAAGTTCAATTAATTCTTTGACGCTACTCTGTGTAACATTGCTTGATTATCATAACCATCCAATATACATTCAAGGATATGCTTGACCTCACAATATCTCTGATGAGCTTTGTCACCAACTAAAACGGGCGGATTCATTGCAGGAAGTTGTCCCTCAAATGTAACGCGTGACGAACTGAACTGACTAGGGTCATCAAGAGTAAGAATTCCAATAATGACACCGGATTCGAGCGTCGAGTTTTCTTGTTTTATAAATTGAACAATACCATCTTCTGTTGCGATAAACGGCATGTGAATTTTATCACCTAAATAATATCAATGATTTAAATGATATAAAAAAATAAAACTTAAAATGATTCTTTTACGAATCGATAAAAATTATAAGACTTCAATTTCAGCGTAAGCGTCACCTCTTTTTACATGATCGCCAGACTCCACCAAAAATTTCACAAGCTTTCCAGGAGAGAGTGAACGAAGTTGTGTTGGATCATTTTCTTATTGAAGTAAACAAGTTTACTATCAATCATCAATCTTATTCCTTGAAATTCTTCGCGAAAATAACAAGTATGGCTAACAAAACTAATAACCCACCATCGAACAGAAACTTACACCCTTGATCCATTCAAGTAAAAGCGTGAAAGAGTCTGAAGCTGATCTAGTAGCGGTAAATTTATAATGGACGTTTTCATAAATGAAATCGATGATGAAAACGGTTCGCAATATATCTCTGCTAGGGGATTGTCCTTTCTCCAAGAAACGTTTGTATTCCATTATGGATTCCATGGCTGCTGTATAAGCCTTGTTCACTGCACCGCATATCACAGCCAACATTTTATCAGGCTTTTCGGCCGTTAGATGTTAATCAGATATTAATCCGTTGTAAAACAATTTTCTTCGAAAACTTGGGTTTCAAGCAATTTGACTAAATATTCCACTTTGGTTCTAAAGTCTCACGAATCGACAATTCCTTAAGCGCGACTATCATATTCTTTCGAGATTGCTGACGATTCTCCTATAAGCGAAAATATGACCAAATTGAGAATCAGCAAACTCATGAAGGCCACCGGCAGAATTAACCGAGAAATATCCCCAAACATTCGTGCT